TGTACCCCTCTGGGTTGAAGAAATCCCCAGAAAAAAAATTTTTTTGTTGTTTTAAAAAAAAATTAAAATTTTTTTTTTTTTTTTTTTTTTTTTTTTTTTACATTTTGAACGGTGGCGTCTTTGGGAGCCACATTTGAAAATATGGAGCAGTGAAAACCTAATTGAAGGGAAGAGCATTCCTTTGCTTCCCGAACATCCAGTGATGTCAGGACAGTGACAGGAACAAACTTTCAAATGCAGATTTTCTTTTCTGGAAGGAATAAAAGAAAACTCTCAGGGCTTTAAGAAAAGGACTGTAAAAAGACCCAAACCTTGAAGAGGGGAGGAAACAAAAAGCAAGAGACTTTGAATTCAAGCTGACAAACAACTGGACTATAACCCTGCTGTGGATTACAAGCCTGTCGCTCTGAATTTGAAGGAGAGGGAGATCAGAGTGTGGGCTGTGGGAAGCCGCGGCGAGAGGATTGTGTTTTCTATCGTCTCTCATCATGAAGCTGAAGAAGATGGAAAGGCTGTGCAGGGAGGTGTGGAGGAGCTGCCAGCAGGTATCAAGCATTGTCAAGCAATTTAAAAGAAAAATATTTGAGAATATAAGAAAAGAAAAGTAAACTAAACTTTGAGAAATGTTGAGGGGAAACTGATTGGTTTGCTGGTAAGCTTTCTAATCTTCTGGTTTTGTTACTTTTCCTTCATGCTCAGCTGGCCCTGCAGATCAAATCTTTCTGATTGAAACTTTCAGTGACACACAACCTTGTGACTGAATGAATTCACTGGCTGTGTTCAGTTATGGGGATTTTCTGTATGTGTTCCATGAGTCATAAAGCTTGTCATTGTAGTTTTCATGTCAGCACAGATCTGTGGTCAGTCAGTCAAGATGCATCTGCCGACTGACAAACTCTGTCATGGCAGCCATGAGCTGGAAACACAGATATAATGTTAAAAACAGGTTTACTTTAAATATGAGTCTGTTTTATAGAAGGCAGCAGAGAGACGGAATGGTTTTGACTGAACTGGTTATCAAAGCATAACAGAGAAAAAACATTTTCCATCCTGATCTTATCAGCCTGCTGCACTCCCGTCCACCCATTTCCGCTCTAAGCAAAACAAATCCCCGCTGTAGTCCTGTCTTCTCTAAAACGGTCAGATAGCAGCAAAATCTGTGTGTACTTTATGGAAGACGCCATTTTACGATGTTTATGTATTTATTTAGTGTTCATTAACTCAAAAAAAAATCCATTGATGTCCATGAAAATTAAACATGTTTCGCCATGAGGGCCATAAAAGTGAAAAATACAAAAGTTACTACAGCTGTTCATTTCGTTTATTTTCAACCTAGAAAGAAACCTTTCTAAATGATCCCCAGAACGATTCAGTCCTTCAGATTTAACCCCGTTTTATATCCATGAGTTGCCATTTCCCACTTACATTCTGTACCTGCATACCAGCTATACATTTATTTATCTTGTTCATTCAGTATTATCGTAAACGATGAAGATAAGTAGTCCAATAAATATATATAGCTAACATACAAAAAATTTGAACTGCAAGTTAAAGCCTCAAGACTTGCATTACACCCTATTCCAAGTTCTTTTGGTTAAGATCCTTTTATCTGTCTAATCTTATGAAATTTGGCAGAATATGTCCCATGAATAAACAAAGTAGGTTTAAGCAACTTCCTGATAGAAGATATTTTTGTACAACCACTTTCTTTTTCTTCAAATGGACATATAGTCGGCATGAAAGGCGAGAAAAATGACATGATGTGTGTTTTACTGTGATATTGCTTTTAACTACAACTTTCTAAAATGATTAAGAATTATTTTGTGTTCTGAATAGAGTTTTGCAAAAAAAAAACAAAAAAGGTGGATCTGATTAAATCTGCTCACATCTTAATAAATGTTTAAATAGAAGCAACCCTAAATTAAGATTTAATTTCATGCAGGACTATGAATATAAAAGGAATATGAAAGTTGAAGGAATAAAATGTTTGTTTTCGCTGTTGAATCCAAGTGGCACACATTGCACCATGAATCTTTACATGCACACCTGTTTGTTACTTCTAATGTTTGAATCATAAAATGGAGAGATGTACATTATGCTGATAATGGTTAGCAACACAACGAGCAACATTTGTTGTTTTTCTGGCGTGGAGCTTGGGTGTGAAGCCATTCCTTTATCCAAGTTCTGACTCCAGAGGCAGTCAATCTTTTATTAACAATTCTGTTAATTGTCCTTCTGTTTCTTTTCACATGTATTTATTTCTTTAAAATTTGTCTGTCAACCTTCTTTCATATTGCAGCCAGGAAGTTTGGCTAAACCAGCTCAGTCATTTGCTGAGAAGTAACTTCATGATGTGATTTTAGTTTTTTTTTTTTGTTGAAATAAAATAAAAGATTTTGAATTGTGAGCTTTCAGATTAACCACAAATGCTTCAGTCTACATTAAAACTCCAATATTACTCAGTATCTGAATATTTAGTTTGCAGAGGAAACTTTGAACCTTCTTCATCACGGCTCACATTCCTCCTGCAGCCCCTCAAACATTGACCTCTAATCAGATACTGATTATTTTGTGTTCGAGGCTGCAAACGGCATAATTTAGGTCATGCCACAGCAACAAACCCTTGAGAGACCTAGTTAAGATTTCACAGCTTTAAGGCAAACTGGCATATTTTCAGCAGCAGCCTATGAACCCCAGCTCTTTATTGAAGGCTTTTTTTAAGTTGCTGTGTTCTCAAAGGAGCCCTTGTTTTCCTCCCTGCATGCAGTTTTTACTGTAAGGAATGAAAATTTTTTTTGATAATTTCTCATTCATTTCAGCCATGATCAAGCCAGCTCTACACAGCCCAGTTTGTTTAGAAGAGAAAACTTGCCTTGTTTAGGTCTGATCATTGCTCGATCAGTATAAAGCTGAAAATATGAATTTTCAACACAGTTGAGGTCAGAACCTCACACTCAAACCATAAATGGTTGTCATTCCTCAGATTCTGAGCTCTGCTATTTATCTTTGTGTTGGGAGATCATTTTGCTCTTTATGCATAAGCTAAAGCTGTTTTTGACTGACTGAGACGTTTGGCTGTTTCTGACCAGTTGGTTTGGTGAACTGGACTATGTTGTTCTGTCTCCTGCAGCTGGACCAGCTGGTGGTCGATGCTGCCAAGGAGAAGAGGGACATGGAGCAGAAACACTCCACCATCCAACAAAAGGTAAATTCACATGAATACTGTTACCTCATCATTTTTGGGGGGGTTTAAATCAAACATGGTCCGACGGTTTCCATACCAACACACTTGTCATGTGCATGTAATTTATCTGGAACTTTCTCACTTGTTTACTCATTTTTCTTTTCAAAATTTCTTCAGCCCTGATTGAATGGATGGAAAGTATCTGTAAACATAAATTTTGTAAAAAAAAAAAAAAAAAACTTGCCAAATATTCTTAATTGGATTCACATCTGGACTTTGACTAGTCCATTTCAACACGTCTGCTGTGATAAAAGTCATTCCACCATTGCAGCTCTGGCTGTGTGTTTACACTCGTCCTGCTGGAAGGTGAACCTACGCTTCAGACCTTTTCAGCCTCTAAAATTTAGCTCCATCCTTCAACTCTGAGCAGCTGAAGAAAGATATCCCTACAGTATGATTCTGCCACTACTATGTGCCACAGTGAAGATGGCGTTTTCAGGGCCATGTGTTGTAAAACGTTTTCCATGAAGGTCAAAAAGCGATTTGTCTTCCTTGTTGGCTGTGTCCCCTGAAGAACATTCACTTTCTCACTGAGTCATAATAAAGCTGCATTTTGCATATTTAGTAACTGTAATACTATTTTGTTTGGCTGTTTAATTATATCAGGAATCTGATAAAAGTTTGTAAAGGGAGTCAGAAACAAAGGAAAACAATGCCATACTTGGGTATTAACTTGTTGAGTTGAGTGTGTGTTTGTCAGTTGAGGGAATGGCAGTAGTAGTCCGCCCTCAGGTGTCAGGTGAGCCCTGATGATGATCTCAGCTACACACACATGCATTATTGATAGCAGACGGGAATCTGTTGCTAAACAAACTCGGTTTGGTTTCAGTGTGCTTTCAGATCTACTGATTAGCACTTGTTTATTTCACCATTCAGTTTCTCTGCTTCTCATTTTGCTAAAGCGTGCAGCAGATCAGTGGCACATCTTCTGATCTGGGACTCCTGCATCTGTTGAGTTTGATGATGCCCTTAAACAGGGGTCCCCAAACTACGGCCCGTGGGCCGGATCCGGCCCGCCTCCTCATTTGGTCCAGCCCCCTGAACAATACCAGAGAGCATTCAGTGTTTTTTTTCATATATATGTGGATTTTTCTTCAACCACCAGGGGGGCTCTTGAGCAGATATGAAACTTAGTTTCCCTCCATGGAATATATCCTAGTCAGTACCAGTCACAGTTTCGCTCACGGTTTTTTTCCATTTGCATTCTGGGTAAAAATCTATCTACAAACGCGAATATGTCGTCGGCAGTAATCCTATCTCTCTCCCCCCCCACCCACCCCCCCCGTCAACAAAATTTTTCTAAGGTTT